AGTTAATTTGCATATAGCCCTGAATAGCCAATGGAAATGGTAGCGGTCGTACGCTAATTACCATGTTTCTCTTTTATTAGATAGGATAACAAGAGCTCTCTCCATACTCTGAAAATAGTCCCTAAGTTTCTATCCCAGCATTATGTCAGAAGAATTCCTGCATTTTTTTCTCTTTTAAAGGGTTGTCTCTATGGAAGGTTAACATTTGCAATACTGTTGATTCTTATGACAGTAATCCTCATGACCTAAGATGCAAATATTTGACTCTTTTTTGCCACTTGGAGAAGCATCAAGTTGTATTATCCACAAAACATTTGTATCTATAATTGTTCCATTCAATCTTCATCTTGTCATATTTCACTACTTTAACTCACTGTTGAGGCTTTAGATGTTTGTTGAGAAAGTCTAATTTTCACTCCAAAATATAATAGTATTCTTTAGAATTCATGGCTTATCCTCCTTTTTATTTACTTTGATTTTTTTTCAGCTTTATTTAGGTATAACTGACAAATTAAATTGTAAGATACTTAAAAGTGCACAACATGATGATTTAATGTACATTGTGAAAGGATTCCTCCTTTTACTTATACATCTGCCACATCACATATTTACTTTTTTGTAAAAACATTCAAATTCTGAGCAAATTATAGTTATACAATACAGTTATTACCATATTATACATTTAGATCCACAACTATAGTCACCATGTTACACATTTAGATTCTCAGAGCTTATTCTTCTTATTCATCTTATAACTGAAAGTTAGTACCCGTTTGCCTCTATTTTATTTTATTATTACTTTTTTCAATTGCTTTTCAGAGGGACAGTAGAGAAAAAGAGACTTTGATGTGAGAGAGACACATCTATTGGTTGACTCCTACACATGCTGGGGAGTGAGCCCAGCTTCTGGCTGAGCAGTGAGGGTGCACTGGCCACCCAGGGCCAGCTCCTGTGCTGCGCATCTGCCCCCTGGTGGTCAGTGCATGTCATAGCTACTGGTCATTCTGCCATTTGGTCGATTTGCATATTAGCCTTTTATTATACAGGATTACTATAGTAAAAGTTAATGAACAAGCAAACTTGTATTTGGGCACTTTAGAAAAAATACATGTTATTTTAGTAAAGTAAGTGTATATATTTCTTTCAAAATAGTCACTAAGCTGTGTGATCTTTTATAGCTTAGAAAGCATTCTCCCCACCCCTCATAACAATGTAAAAATCAGTTTAGCTGTTTTTATCAGTTAAATTTTCCTCCCAGCAATGAGTGTTATATGGCATAAGTTAAATGGGAAATACTTCATGGCCCATTGTGATTTATATATTATTTCTTAAAATGTAACTTTTGAAAATTTGACATTTCTCTTAGTCTCTGGTAATCTTTTTATCTTCATACACTAGTTCTGAAATTCCTATTTAGATACTGTTTTTCACTTGTAAAAAAGATTTGTTTTTTCAAATACTTCAAATCTATTGGTGAGATCTTTTCACCCTTGTCATTATTTTTATTGTTGCCTATTTTTGAGTAACATTATAGTAGTACTTTAATACTCTGCTATTAAGATATAATTAACACTAGTTTATGCCACATGAACCCAATCCAACAGCAGATAAAATATAACTATTCTTGTAAGAATGATGTTTATCTTCCTACATGAGCAGGTGTGTAAAAGAATTAACTTTATTTACTTAAATTGATTACACTTTATTTGTTATATATTAATTAAATATTCTTTTTCTTTACATTTTTGTAGGCCCTGACTTTGTTGTTTGTGATGAAGGCCATATTCTAAAAAATGAAGCATCTGCTGTTTCAAAAGCTATGAATTCTATACGATCAAGGAGGAGGATTATTTTAACAGGAACACCACTTCAAAATAATCTAATTGAGTGTGAGTGTGAGGATTATGTTAACAGGAACACCACTTCTAATAATCTATAGAGTATTAGCTTTTCCTCTTTGCCATTCACCTTCTGTTTTTCTAGTATATTCTCTGACCGTGAACTATATAGGTCCATCTTAGTCTACTGTGAGAGAATACTTTACATTTCAAATGTAATGCTTTATAAATATGACTGGTAAACCACAGTTAAGTGTTATGCCATTGTGAGCCTTGAACTATAAATAGAGAATTTGAAATATATAAACAGTATCAGAAGTTTTAATTATTTCTTTAAAACAAGCATGTCAAACTCAAATGCTAACATGGGCCAAACAAGGTTTAAGTTTATATGAGCTGCAAAAACAGAAAAGCTTCAATTGTCATAGAAATGTAGGTTTATTTCAATAGAGACATGCTGATTACAAAGGGCTGAAATAAATGAGTGAAAGCGAATTATTTCCTATTGCACACACCAAACAAGTCAGTCCAAGACTAATAACGTGGCAGTTGGATCCTAAAATATTTGCTGCTAGCATCAGTGGAGAGAAATGGTGTTCCTTTGCATAAGGCACATAAGGGAAATGAATGCAACACGATTATAGTAATCGGTCATTAGCGAATGTTGTAGTTCGTTATTAATAATTATGTGTAACAAGATATTGTAAAAATTAAGTTACAAAATTTTTATTAAAACATTTCTTACATACTGTTATATTGGCTGGGCTGCTAAAATATTCATTGTGGGCTGTATGCGGCTTGCAGGCCGAGAGTTTGACATGCTTGCTTTAAAAGCCCAGATGCATTTGTGACTATTCAGGAGATACTGTAACAAAATATATCCAGTTTTGGGTGAGGTCCTGATATGAAATTGAAAAGAAATGCGAGGTATGGAAATTTTAGGAAGGTGAAGATGGGCAAGGAGAGCTGTGTTGAATCCATGTCAGCATAGAGTTTGTGGTGGGGGAGGATAGATGATGTGAATACAGGGAAATGACTTGTGAATTTTTCTCATTTTAATTTTTGTAACGATGCTGAAAAGGGAACACTAGTTTGTTATTTAGCAAGTAACAAATTGAAATTTTTTATTATAATCCACTGTAGTAGCATTTTGTTATTTTTATGTTGTTTTCATTTATTTAGTGTATTTACTAGAGGCCTGATGCACGAAATTTGTGCGAGGAGCTTGACCCTCGCAGCCCTGGCTTCGTCCGGAAGGTTGTCCCACTATCCGATCTAATTAGCATATTATGCTTTTATTATTATAGATAGTAATTTAACTGTTTTTTTAATTATTTTTAATACATGTTATTATTTCAATTTATTTTTATGTGTTCTAGTTTCCTTCTTTTCTCTTACCATACTAATACAAACGCTGTTTCTCATTGTGGTCTGATTTGTATGGGGTAACTGATAATTCTGTTAAAGACTTCTAGAACTAAAGCAGTAATATAAAATTTGATATAGTAGCTTATTACCTGATTTTATTATTTTGATTCAGTATCTATGTTTTTTAAAAATATTTTTATTTGATTTCAGAGAGAGAGAGAGAGAGAGAGAGAGAGAGAGAGAGAGAGAGAGAAACATCAATGATGAGAGGTAATCATTGATTGGCTTCCTCCTATATGCCCCACACTGGGGATTGAGTCAGCAACCCAGGCATGCATCCTGACTGGATATTGAACTATGACCTCCTGGTTCATTGATTAATGCTCAATCACTGAGCCATGCTGGCCAGTCTCTATGTGTTGTTATTTTTTCCTAATGTACTCTTGTTGATCATAAAATCTTGGTTAAAATTAATAGAATACTTGTTTTATACTCACATATAAAGAGTACTGAGTTATAATAAAAGAGACAGTGTAATGGAGGGGAGGAGAGAGAAATCGAGAGAGAGACATTGATGTGAGAGAGACACATGAATTGGTTGCCTCCTGACCTATCCCAAACAGGGTTGGGGATCAAACCTGCAACCCAGGTACTTGTCCTTGACTGGAAATAGAACCTACAACCCTTTGGTGCATGAACCAATGCTCTAACAATTGAATAACACTGGCCAGGGCTGGTTTTTATTTGAATATCTCATCTGGTTTAGGAAATCTAGTTCTAGATCAGACTTATAACCAATGTTTAATCTATCTTCAGTTTGGTGTTCTTTCTTTGTAGATTCATTCTAATCCTTCCATGGCATACATATTTTGATATAAGCATCTTATTTGAAAATTTTTCTGAGACCTTTTTTCATTATTGTTAATAAACTAATGTCTTCTCTTTTAGATCATTGCATGGTTAACTTTATCAAGGAAAATTTGCTTGGCTCCATTAAGGAGTTCAGAAATCGATTTATAAATCCAATCCAAAATGGTCAGTGTGCAGATTCTACCATGGTAGATGTCAGAGTGATGAAAAAACGTGCTCACATTCTCTATGAGATGTTAGCTGGATGTGTTCAGGTACAAATACATTCCATAGTAATAAAATTTTATTACTTCATTATATTGCAATCCTAAAATGTTTTCTGAATTTAAATTTTATTTTGTTTCCCCCCCTTTTTCAGTATATAGTTTACAGTTAAACCTCCTTGCATTGTCTTTAAAAGTGTATGCAACATTGACTTTTTAAAAAGTTCCATTATTGATTTGCCTAGTGTACATCTTCATATTTGAATATGTAAATGTTTAGATCCCTTATCCTTAAGATAGGGACTATGTAAAAAGAATACAGCTATTATGATTAAGAAATTTCTGTGCTCATTCTAAATCTATAGTATTCTAAACATCATTTATTTGAAAGGGTTGTAGTAAAGGCATTTATGATTTACGAGCAATGCCATTTTAAATGTAATTCTGAAGAAACAGTTTTATTATTGTCAAGTACAAAAACCTGAAGGTCTAGTATTGTTGTTTATATATACATTTTCAATGAACCTATATTAATGAGTAGATAACTCTATAGAGACTGAGCCAGCAGTTAATAGATTTCAGCATCTGCACTTCTTCTTTTAATACCAGATACTAATGGTAGCCACAAAGATGTAACAAATGAGACAGGCCATCCTTATGCCTGAGTATACTTATATGATGGTATGTTACCATCATATAAGGCAAAGTCATCCTGTTCTTGTTGGCCACAGGTACTAGCAAGTACTCTGTTTCTGTGTTGCTGCTACCTAGACAGTGTTTTTTTTTTTTCTGGATTAGGTAGTCATGTGTATCTTGCATATTAGTGTTCTTTCTTTTCTATTCCAATAATTGGTTTCAAGAATGCTTATACGTGGCTTGATTTCTCAATTGGGCAAAGATTGCCCCTTGAGTTATGCATTATTCTCTGGCATTTTGCACATCTTACGCAAAGCACAATTCAGAGTTCATCAGACTTCGATTCATCAATTTTACTGTATGATTAAAGCAAGTCTTTTTGCTAGCACTACCTATGACATCCCCTACTCTCCTTTTTTCTCTTCTCTTATATATATATACTAGAGGCCCAATGCACACAATTTGTGCAAGGGGCTCGGCCCTAGCAGCCCCGGTTTCATCTGGAAGGTCATTTGGAAGGTCGTCCGGATGGTCGAGCTGTTCAGGCATCTGGTCTAATTAGCATATTATGCCTTTATTATATATATACACACACACACTAATAAAAGACAAAGATGGTAATTTACCCTACCTTCCCTATGAATAATACTCATGGAGGAGTATTGAGGACACAGAGGGAGAGGGGCCTATTTTCTAATGGGAATTTGGAAAGGTTTTGCCAAGGAGATAATGCCTGCTATGAGTTTTGAAGCATAAGTAGGACCTTTCCTGATGAATGAGAGTTGAGCTAGGCTTGAGGCTCTGGAGAGAATGCTCAAGGCAGAGAACAGCGTGGACAAAGACACAAACATGAAACAGAATGTACATTTTGGGAATTGCAAAGTCTATATGGATGAAGCATAGAGTATTTAGAGAGAGAGAGAGAGAGAGAGGAGACCATTTGAAAACCTAAATTGCTTACTTGGTAATATGACCACTTCCACTTAAAACTTGTGTTGCAGTATCTTTTTACCAGTGCATCATATTGTGTAGTCATATGAAATAAATTGACTGCACTCATATGGGAATCATATTGTGTGATTTAAGTGGGTAAATCTGTTTAAGAAGATGTTTTGTTATATGTTTAGTATCTATTTGTGTGTGTGTGTATCTTTTAGTTGCAAGCAGTGATAATTCTTAGAGCACTTAATTCCTGTTATATATTAGGTTAACTAATTTTCATTCTCTTGTTAATTACAGAGGAAAGATTATACAGCATTAACGAAGTTCTTGCCTCCAAAACATGAATATGTGTTAGCTGTAAGAATGACTCCTATTCAGTGCAAGCTCTATCAGTACTACTTAGATCACTTAACAGGTAACAAACACTGTCGGTTTATTGTTTTTATCTTTCCTTTAAATACATTGTTTTCTGTAGAATTCTGTCTTGGTAATTTTACTGTGTCAGTTCTTTTTTTCAATGGAATAAAATTGGTATGCTTATTTTGTAAAGGTAAAAAATATTTTTAATTAAAAAACACTAAACTTGTCAAAATAAAATCAATTTAGAATAAACAGCTGAAAGAATATACACAGCACATATGACTAATACCTTTAATTTGTATAAAGCTTTTATTTCAGAAAATTTATAAATGTGAATAAATTCATAAAAGAAAATACATATAATTCTAGTATATTATTAAAAAACATTCAACCACATTAATAATAAAAAGCATGTAAATAAAATCCATGAAGTCTTTTCTTAGTTATCACATTGACAATGGTTGAAGGAAAGGAAGGGGCAAAATACAAGGCAGAGCATATATTATGCTCCCAATGTTATAAAAAAGTACGTGCAAATGCCTAAAATATGCCAAAATGTTAACAGAAATTGTTTTCTGGGTGATTTCATTATGATGAACTTTTAGTTTATTTCTTATTCTTTTCTATGGGCTTTTCAAAATACCATGAGTAGGTATCATTTTGTCATCAATAAACTTGTGTAGGTGTGTGTCTGTGGCTGTGCCCAAGGTTGTCACTGTTCACAGAACAAAACCTAGTCTCTGTCCTGAAATGGGATTTCTTATTGGTCATTTTATTCTGATACCTTTCCCCAAGTGATGTGTCAGATTTTCTTAGGGGATACAGTTTAGTAGGTTCCCTTCAGTCATTGTGGATACAATAATTTATTAAAAAATAATGGAAAGTGGAAGTGTGTACCCATATATTAAAATGATACTTTAGCCGAAACCGGTTTGGCTCAGTGGATAGAGCGTTGGCTTGTGGACTGAAGGGTCCCGGGTTCGATTCCGGTCAACGGCATGTACCTGGGTTGCGGGCACATCCCCAGTAGGAGATGTGCAGGAGGCAGCTGATCGATGTTTCTCTCTCATCGATGTTTCTAACTCTCTATCTCTCTCCCTTCCTCTC